AAAATAGATATTTTGAGCTTTGAGCTTAGGGTGTAAGCTCAGTTATAAATAGAGGGAGTAACCTCTATTTTTGTAAGCAGGTCAATTAAGTTGTATTCACAGAATTTGCAGTTGCAAGTGAATAACAAAGTTTTCCATAATTTGTGGGCAGAGGGAAACTCTGCAGAAAATAATTGTCTTCTTTCTTTTCTTTTCGTTCTCATAATTCATTGTCATTGAGGAGAAATTCATCATAAAATTTGGTGGATTTCCAATATCTGGTATCTAGAGCTTTTGTTTCGATTCAAGGGACGTGTCAATCAAGAACGATTGAAGAATTCATGATGGCAAGTTATGAGAATGCAAACTATGCAGCAACGCTACCAATTCTGAAAGTTGACAACTATGAGAATTGGTGGAAACAAATGAAAGTCTTATTCAGGTGTCAAGGTCTTTGGGATCTTGTAAAAGACGGAGTCGAAACGCTTGGAGAAAATGCTTCAGAAGAAGAAAAAAAGAAATATACAGAATCTGAGAAGCTGAGTTATAAAGCATTATTTATAATTCATCAATGTGTCAGCCCAGACAATTTCGAAAAGGTTAGTGATCCAGAATCTGCAAAAGAAGCTTGGGAAATTCTTGAGAAGTCTTTTGGAGGCCCTGAGAAGGTGAAAGAAGTGAGGTTACAAACTCACAAAAGGACGTATGAACTGCTTCAGATGGAAGACAGTGAAAGCATATCTGATTTCTTCACTAGAGTTACAAAAGTAGTAAATCAAATCAAGATATGTGGAGAAACGTTAACAACAAGAGCTGTTGTTTCGAAGATCTTGAGATCTTTAACTCCTAAGTTCGACCACATAGTGGTGGCGATAGAAGAGGGGAAAGACTTGTCGAAATTGACAAAAGAAGAGCTTCAAGGGACGTTTGAATCTCATGAACAAAGAATGAACGAAAGAGCTGCAGGAAAATCGAAGAGTGATGTGGCCTTGCAGGCACATTCAGCAAAAGAAACCAAAGGCAAAGGAAAGTGTTTCGACAAAGGTAGATGTGGCTACAACAAATCGAATGGTAGAGGTAACCAAATCGAAGGAGACGTGTCGAATCAAAGAAGACCATACCAAAGCAACCAAAGAGGTGGTGTTGTAAATAGAGGAAGAGGTGGTGGTCGAAAACTTGATAAGAGTCACATTCAATGTTACAATTATCAGAAGTATGGACATTATTCGAGTGATTGTCCAGAAAAACGAAAGAATCAAGAAAGTGATGCAAAGCTTGCAAAACATGAAGAAGAAGAGATGATGCTGATGGTCACAATAAGAGATGAAGATAGATTCAATGACCAGTGGTACTTAGACTCAGGATGCTCATCACATATGTCTGGAAAGAAAGACTGATTTGTCAATATAAAGCCCTCAATGAAAAATATGTTAAAATTTGCAAATGACAATACCCTAGCAGCTGAAGGTATCGGTGATGTTATGATTATGAGGAAAGATGGCAAAAGGTCAGTAATCTCCAATGTGTTGTACATACCAGGCATGAAGAGCAATTTGCTCAGTATAGGACAGTTGGTCGAAAAGAATTATAAAGTTTCAATCGAAGATAAGATGATGAGAGTCGTTGATGCAAATAGGAGATTAATCTTGAAGGCTCATATGTCTCAGAATCGAACCTTCAAGACTGAACTAAATGTGATGGAGCACAAGTGCCTTTCGACTGCAGCTAGCAGAGATTAATGGATATGGCATTATAGACTAGGCCATCTCAACTTCAGAGACATAAGAGATTTGAAGAGAGGAAATATGGTTTCAGGATTGTCAAAAATCGACATTCCAAATGAGGTATGATAGGAATGTGTGCAGGCGAAGCAACACAAGAATAACTTTAGCAAGGATGCAGGAAGCATGTCGAAGGCTAGTCTTGAATTCATATACTCTGATGTATGTGGACCAATCTAGGTGGACTTGATGGGAGGTAACAAATACTTTGTTACATTCATAGATGATTTCATTCGAAAGCTATGGACTTACCTGATCAAGAAGAACAGTTAAGTGATCGAAGTATTTGTCAGGTTTAATTCTATGGTCGAAAGACAACGTGGTCGAAAGCTCAAAGTTTTAAGAACTGATGGTGGTGGAGAATATGTGTCGAAAGACTTCGACAGGCTGTGTAAAAAGGAAAGGATTGTGCATGAGGTGGTGCGACCCTATACTCTACAACAAAATGGAATTGCAGAAAGGAAGAATCGAACCATCATGAATATGGTGAGAAGTATGTTGAAAGGCAAGAATTCACCTAAAGAGTTTTGGGGTGAAGTTGTTTCGACTGCAACATACATTTTGAACAGATGTCCCACGAAGAAGCTAGAAGGAATTACTCCAAAAGAATGTTGGTCTGGTGTGAAGCCTAGCTTGAGTCATCTGAAGATATTTGGATCTATTGCACATAGACATGTGTCAGATCAGTTGAGAAGAAAAATTGATGACAAGTCAAGTCAAATGATTCTAGTTGGATATCATTCAACAGGAGGCTACAAGTTGTTCGATCCAGTGAAAAAGCTGATTGTGATCAGCAGGGACGTGATCATAGATGAGTTTAAAGAATGAGATTTGACTGAAAATGTCAAGAAAGATTCAGTGGAAATCCTTCTTGAAGAGCCAGAAACTCAAGTCGAAAGAGAAGTTCGACAAGAGGAACCAGCAAATATACAACGTACAAGTAGGCCTCAAAGAACAAGATGCATGCCTGCAAGATTGCAAGATTGTGTGATTACATCAGATGATGTAATAGATAATGAAAGTGAGCTGGTACATTATGCTTTCTATAAAGATGTCGAACCTGTTAATGAAGCTGAAGCATTGAAGGATTGGAAGTGGGTGAAAGCAATGAACGAAGAAGTGAAGTCTATCGAAGACAACAACACTTGGTCACTTATCGAATTGCCTCAAGGCAAGAAGGAAATTAATGTCAAGTGGGTATACAAAGTGAAAACGAATTCGAAAGGTGAAGTAACTCGACACAAAGCAAGGCTTGTGGCAAAAGGATTTCTACAGAAAGAAGGAATATACTTCGATGAAGTTTTTGCACATGTTGCTAGGATCAAAACAATCAGGTTGGTTGTTGGTCTAACAGAAATAAACAGTTGGCACATATATCAGATGGACGTAAAGTGTGCATTCCTGAATGTACCCTTAGAAGAAGAAGTTTATGTTAAACAACTAGTTGGGTTTGTGAAACATGACAAAGAAAGAAAGGTGTACAGGCTACATAAAGCCCTATATGGATTGAAACAGGCTCCCAGGGCTTGGAATAAGAAAATTGATAGTTTCCTAAGGGAGAAGGAATTTATGAAGTGCACAACTGAAGATGGAGTATATGTAAGAAGAAGCAAGAGTAAATTGCTTATACTATGTCTCTATGTAGATGATTTGTTGATAATAGGTAGTTGTAAAAGTGAGATCGAAGACTTCAAAGGTGATCTCAACAAGGAATTCGAAATGTCTGATTTGGGTGAGATTTCAAATTTCCTTGATATCAAATTCTACAAGAGCAGCAGAGGTTTGATGATACATCAAAGAAGATATGCAGGAGAAATTCTCAAGAGGTTTGAGATGGAAGAATGCAACTCAACTTCGACACCTGCAGAACCAAGACTGCAACTGTCAAAAGATGCAAATGAAGATGATGTTGATCCAACCCAATACAGAAGACTTATTGGATCATTGAGATACCTTTGTCATACAAGGCCTGGCTTAGCATATAGTGTAGGTATGGTAAGTAGATTCATTCAGAAGCCAAAGGTATCACATCTAGCAGCAGTGAATAGGATACTAAGGTATCTCAAAGGAACTTTCGATTATGGCATTTTGTTTCCTGCAACTGATAAAGGAAAAGAATGCAAGTTAGTGGGATACACTAATTCGAGTTGGTGTAGTGATGCTGAAGATCGAAAGTCAACAGCAAGATATGGGTTTACGCTAGGTGATGCACCAATTGCTTGGAATTCAAGAAAGGAACCAGTAGTGGCATTATCATCATGCGAAGCAGAATACATAGTTGCTTCTCTTTGTGCATGTCAAGCAACTTGGATGGTGAACTTGGTCGAAGAGATAACAGGGAAAGATCATGGACAATTACCATGAAGATCGACAGCATGCAGCTATCAATCTGACGAAGAATCCAATAGCACATGGTCGAAGTAAGCACATCGAAATGAGGTTTTATTATCTTCGAGAGCAGATAGCAGATGAGAAGATGAATTTGGAACACTGCAGAACTGAGAATCAGATTACAGACATCATGACGAAGGGAGTGCAAGTCGAAGTATTCAGAAGGCTAAGAGCCATGATGAATATATATAGTTTAGACACAATGAATTAGGTGGTGTGTTAAATTGTAATTCATAGTGTCGAAAAGATTAGATTTGTTTTAGATTTAAATAGATTTGATTTAAGTCTATAATATGTTAGATTTGATTTAGTAACAAAATAGATATTTTGGACTTTGAGCTTAGGGTGTAAGTTCAGTTATAAATAGAGGGAGTAACCCTTATTTTTATAAGCAAGTCAATTAAGTTGTATTCATAGAATTTGCAGTTGCAAGTGAATAACAAAGTTTTTCACTGTTTGTGAGCACAGAGAAACTCTGCAGAAAATAATTGTCTTGTTGTTTTTCTTTTCGTTCTCATAATTCATTGTCATTGAGGAGAAATTCATCATAAATATTTGGTGGATTTCCAACAATATACTGAGTAGTGTATAGTGTATTGTTCAGTATGATTTCTATATGACATATACTATTGCTCCTGTCAGTATGTGTTGTTTTGAATATATGGTACATAAGTCGACGGAACTTTATTTGTAATTTTATAGAAGCAGTTTCTTAATCCTTCTCTACTTGATTTAAAGACGTTTCAATAAACCTATATTGTTATTGAGTAAATACATTCTTGACACCAGTTTGTATCATTACATAATTACAACTTGTTGTTATCATGACTATCATTATGCATACTCAATTCATATTTCAAAATGATAATCTATGTTGCCAATCATATTAGGACTACTTGTGTTGAGATCATCTTCATCATCGACACTACTCAAGATTGTTGTGGCATAAGTGTTGCCAAGTTGAAGATTTCTGGTCGTTGTTTTGCTTTGGAGTTTAATACTAGTCGTCTGTGGGCCAGATCCATACCCTCCATTTCTGCTTCTATCAACTTGTTTAGCTTTATATTTATGGTTACCGCATGTTCTGATCATATCAACAAAAACAAAAGATTAATTCATAGAATACCATCAAATGTTTATTCATAGTTATATGAATATATGATTATCGGATGAAAACATTAATAAAATAAGTATATACTTACATTGTAATAGTCATAGATCTTTTAGGGGAATATTTATAATTGGTTGGCATGGGGATGAAACTACCAGTAGCAAGTGCCATGAGAAAGTGTTCTTTTTATTATCAACAAACTTGATTTCCTCTTCTTTCAGAATAATTAATGACGCGGAAGCTAGCTTATAGTAGAAAATGAAAATGTTAGTGTGTTATGTGTTTTGTAGTAATATCGATCTTATGGAAAGGTTGAAGGTTATTTATAGAGAAAGTAGTTATTTATTGAAGGCAAATACAATGCATATGTTTGAAAATTTCAATCTTGAACACTTCAATTCAATTATTTCTATGGGTCCATGGTCAAACTTTTGTCCTGGCTAGTGGCAAACTATTTGACTAGCAGTATATCTATTTTATATTTACTTATTACTTATATATTTATGGGTACTAGTGTATTACGCGTATTTATTTTTAAATATATAATAAAAATAAAATAACGGTAATACATGCTTAATGTTTAAATCAATAATTTAGGACTCCCAAGATTAATAGAAAAGTTATGAAAACTTTTTCAAAAAAAAAATATAAGTTATTTTAAATCATTTTTATTTATAAGAATAATTTTAACATCTATTAATTTAAATATTTGTTTTTAAAGATTTTAAAATAATACTCAAATATATTTTTATAAAAATTTACTAAAAAGGTTTAAATTTATAAATTTGACTATAAAAAATAATAAAAAAAGAATAAAATACTTCAAAATATTTTTTAATAAGAAAGTATTTAAATAAAAAATTATTTAAATTATTAAATTATTTTTTTAACAAAAATATCTAATATTATAGAACTCATTTTCAGGAAATTATAACAAAGAGATACCTCTTATGTTTCTATGGTTTAAACAATGTTTCTTTAATCGGAGTTATGTTATTTTAGTTATGTCACCGTCCCGAATTTACTTATTTATCCGATATTGTCTTGCTTTTATGGTTGCTGTTACTTATAATAAAATGCTGCAACATAATTACATGATGTTGCTACTATATAAAAGAACTGCAATTACTTATGGCAAGAACTATAATTACATTTTTCAACATAATATGATGAGGCTAATTATAATAACATGCTACTGCTACATAATCTTGTGTTGCTGCTACTTATAATAAAATGTTCTTGTTACATAAACTTGTGTTGCTGCTACAATAACCTTATGCTGCTGCTACTTATAATAACATGCTGCAACGTAATTACATGATGTTGCTACTATATAAAAGAGCTGCAATTACATATGGCAAGAACTATAATTACATTTTTCAAAATATACCAACTTAGAATGAACTTGCTGATAATTACTGATAACCTTGCTGATATAACAGAATTGAATAGCAATAACTATATAATTACAATCATTGAGAAAACACGAAATAATTACATCTTTCAGAATACCAACTTAGCATGAATTAAAAAATTACAACCCTGAACTCCCATTTCTCAATTCACCGCGTGATAAATATTGTACTAAACATCACAGATATAACAAAAGTATAACTTGGTGATTAATCAGCCCTAATCACGTCAATGTTGCAATATCAGTTTCATATAAGGGTGCCTACATGATAAAAAAAAGTTAATTAACATCGAGTTAAAAAGTTATAATGAAAAGTCGATTTAATCTTTGGTAACATTGTTACAGTTATTCAAAACTGCATCATTTTTGTTAGAAAATCAATGAGCAACCAACGCAACTCTGTAATGGCATAGGCAAGAACAATTCCAAATGAAAATAGTAAAGCATCGAAAATGAACCTTAATAGAGGGTTGAAAATTTCATGAGGCCTCAAAATTATCTAGATTTTCCAAGACAGTTTGATTTGAGATGATGTGTTGTTCTGGAAAACTAAAACCAGGCCGCCTGAAACATTCATCATTTGCAGAACCAATTACATTGATAAAATTGTGAAATCCAATATTTCCCTCATGAAGATTCAACAATTCAATTTGAGAAAACGCTGTAGGTCGCAATCCTTCGGGTAAAGACACTGGATACAAGCTATAACCATTTCTTATCATTAACATCTGCAGAATTGATCACAAACACTAAAGCAACAATTAGTCCATGATGGAATAATAGACCAATAAACAGTTTGAATAAAATTCTCAAGAAACACTTGTAGAGATAACACATTGAAATGGTTGACAAAATTAATGATCATGTATTGGACATAATGTCAGGTATTCTTACGTACAACCAACTGTTATGCACACATGTCACGATTAAAGTTATTCTTATTCATGTCGTTTATTTTTTTTCTGCAGAAGAATTAAGGAATTACTTTAGCAGTAATTTTGTTGACCGATCAGAAATACATGACAGGAACACGCTTGATGTTCTCACACCAGAGTTTCTAAGCTCTTTAAAAACTCACGGTTTGCCTAACCATCACATCAAACTGAAGATTGCACCAATTATGATAATGAGAAACATCGATCAGTCTCAAGGATTGTGTAATGGTCAGTGGCGGAGGGAGAGTATAATGAGGGGCTTCTATTGAAACCCTGAATTTTTAACAAATGCACCTATGTAGCTATGTAATTTACAATTTGAACCCCCTGAAAAATTGATTTTGCACCCTTAACTCAAATGGTCAATCTAATTTTATTTCATATATTTTCAGATTTTTTTCATCTCTCTAAAACTCTCTCTAACCCTAAACTCTCTCAACCAATAAACTCTCAATCTACTTCCACCCTTTCTTATCAGTGGCACCTCCACCACTACAACTCGCCGAATATATCCTCCTCCTTCTCTCTTCTTGTCTCTCATGTGTTTGTCAAATAAAATAGAAAGCAAGATATTATAGGCCCTTCTATTCTCTCCTCTCTTTCTCCACCCTTCTCAATTCCAAATCCAAAAGAAACTATGCAAGTCACAAAATTTTTTTCTCCACCCTTCTCTATTCAGAAAACAGTTATCCAAGTCACAAATATGTTTTTGAAGCCTTTAATATCATGCAATTAACTATAGATAGTCAATTTTATAACTTTATATTTTAGGGTTATGTAGGAAAAATCCCCCTTCATTTAATTTGTTTTCCCTTCATCAAGTTGTATATATATTCTCACATCTTGTTTAGGAGTACGAGTGAAAAACTTGTTTCTATAAGAGAATCATGTTAGAGAAAAATATAAATCAAATGGATAAAGAATAATTTAAGGGACATGTGAATTTATTTTGAGTTAACTGATAAGGGAAATATATCATCTACATATTATCTATGAATATTTATTCTTTCTTTTTTATTTCAATGTTTTCATTTCAATGTTGTTGTTGATTTTATTAATTGTTGATTTATTCAAATTACTCATTGTTGTTTAATAACAGGTTGAATTTCTGACATTTGCTCATTGTTAATGTTGTTTTTGTTCATTGTAGGACATTATGGACAAATTTTCATGGAGTTCTGCTAATGAAATTCAATGGAATTTTTGGACCTCTAAAATACTTGGAGTGACTTTGTTCCAGTAAGAGATTTGGAGTAGAAGTCTGATATTTGTGGTGTTTACTTATGTACAAATGACATATCAAGTTGAGTGTATTTTGTTTCTTATTGGAGATGAAGTTGATGAGATATTTGGTGTGTTATAAAGGTGGTGTAGTGGTCCAAAGAGTAGTGCATTCGAAAAGGTAACTTCAGTTAAGGGTTTGTTGAACATCAAAATGTCATTGTTATCTCCTTATATGATTTGTGAAAGGTTTAGTTTGGATACATCTGGTATCAAATATGTTTCATATTTATCATCATATATGTTGTTACTAAAAATGTTGTTTTCACGCTTATTATTTGTATATCCATTGAAGAGTTGGCTACAGAAACTGCATGGGGGAGATTTAGTAGAGATAGGGATAATCGTTGTGTGCTTAAGAAGGTTGACGGTGTGGGTCAATGGATTAACAACTGAGAAACCCAACTGGTAGTTGAGGAGATTTTGAATAGCCCAAAACAACATGCATGCCTGTGGAAATGTTTGACCAGGCGGCAGAATATTTCAGTGGCTATTGAGAAGCGGCTAACACTGATTGAATGGATAGAAAAGTGGCAAAGTGTAAAATTTGGTGTAGGATCTGCTGAAGGATCTGTTGTACGCAGACTTGTTGAGGGTAAGATAAAGGTGCATGAAAAAGGTGCAAGCAAGACTTCTATGACATCTGAGGAAGGAAGGTAAATAAACACCAGCACGCAAAATATCTTGCATGTTTTTGTAGTTGAATCATTTATTCTTAATTATATTAACTTGTTGTGTGATATTGTTGTTGCAGATCTATGGAAGAGTTCCAATGGAGAAGAGAGAGACTTGACATGGTGTACCTAAGAACCTTGAGGAGGTTAAAAGATACAATGAAGCGAAGGAAAAAGCACAATAGGGCAAACATTTATCAACAATCAAGGTTGATGTGCACCAAGAAGTTAAAGTTGGAGGACCATCCGTTGTTGGTGATGAACTGACACCCAAAAAAGACGGTGGATCATTGGTTCATTATGTTGGGTTAGGGCATGGAGGTGTAGATTCAGTGAAAATGGAGATAATCCAGTTGAATCAGATGTTGAGTTATGCACCGCAGGTAAAGCATCTCATGTTTGTGACAAATTTGTGGAGAAAAAATCACCATCATCTATTTACAACAGTGGTATTACAGATAGAGTTAAGATCAAAAGAGGAAAAGGGTTGAAATAAATGTAGATACTGTGAATGTTGCTGGTGTTATTAATAAAAGGAAACTGCATGCAACACTAATACGTAAGAAGGGGGTACAAGAAAGAAGTCGTAGCGACGTGAAGTGGTTGTTGTGAAGCACAAGTTTAAGGCAAAATATATATTTGTAGATTCTAATGGATTAACATACACACATATCTGCTCTGATAGTGATTGGTAAGGGATGAAGTACGAAAAGCGTTATATGTTGTTGATTATGTTTTAAAACATTGCAAAAATACATTTGCAATAACACTGTAATGGTTGAAATTGTGATGTAGTAGCGATGAAGCCCAAGATGATGGTGACAACAACATTGGCCCATGGTACTACTTGTGGAAAAAGGAAACCTCATGTGGAAAAACGGCAACCAACAATATTTTTGTAAGTAGAAACTCATTCAATATTATTAAATTACTCATATTGTGTTTGTATGATAGGTTTATGGATATTGTATGTTTTATGTTGTGTGAAGCCATTAGATATTAGAATTGGTAGTTATATCAAACATCCCATAATATTATATAACTCATATTAAGTCAGTATGATAACATATATTGAAAGTAAATGTTTTCTATGACGTATAACAACTTCTCCAAAAGGTTATCAAGGAGTGCATCCCAAATCTCCAAGGCCATATTTAGTTAGCGGACTCAGTCACATGTAATATTACTGAATGCAAACTTTATCGTGTTGAAAGGGTGTATTGCATTGAAAGGTACATTAGTAAGGAGTGGTGTGAATTTGTTAAGAAGGATAATTTAAAAAAAAAAAGGAGATAAGGTTTCCTTTTCCCTCCGTAACCCTTCATCAAATAGGATTGTTGTCATTGTTTTCACACGTCAACATTGTTTGGAGGAAGTCGAATGCAACACGAGGAAGTTGAATGAAGGGCTATGATGGAGAGGCGAATGTTTTTGAATGATGCAGTGAAGTTTATTAGTATTATATCTGTTTAAGTCAATATTTTGAAATTTTGTGTAAGAAGTCAATTCACCTTCTCATTTTTCGCTCGTCCAAGTCGTCCCTCAGGGAAGACAAGTAACATTGGCTTTCTAAAAAGGAAATGTAATCTGCTCATGTTCATGTGCTGATTATTTGCGTTGAAGTTAGACCATATCTTGAGTAAGTGTATTTAATTAAGTATATATGTTTTATTGGTTAAGACTTATAACCTTAGCTAACCTATATTTTTTTCTCAAAATAGGGCATTTAGTACCTACTATTATCAACGCACAGGCGAATAACCATCGACTGGTTACACACATGCCTATTTTCCAGCATTATTCAAGCAACAATTATCATGTATTGTTGCACCAAGTCCTGAAATAATACATTTGAGAAGTTTTTCTGAAGCCCCTAGTTAACTTGTAAATGAATGGCACACATACTTTGTAAACGTTTACAAATTTCACACTGAGATATGGAGTGAAGGGAAGAAAATCGTAAACAATGGTGTAGTCATAAAAAGAGTTACAGAGGATGGTTAGGACGACTTCTATGGGGTTATCACACATATTTATGAGTTGGTCTATAATTATACGGACTCAAAAAATAAATTTGTCTTGTTTTATTGTGCCTGGTATGATCCATCTTCTAGAGGAACAAAAATTGATAAAAATATATAACACTGTTGAGGTTCGAATAGATAGAAAGTACAAAGAGTATGACTCTTTTATAATTGAACATAATGTTAGGCAAGTTTATTATGTATCTTATCCTTCAATCACCCCACACAAACGAGGATGGTGTGTTATAATTAAATTCAACACAATGGGTCACATTGAGACTGACGAAGTAATGGAAGATGTTACATACAAAGATGATGAGATTTCACCTATTAATGGGGTAATTGAAATTGAGGAGATTATAAGTTTGTGTGATATTGTATTTGGGGGTCAACAAGTTTACGCAACTATATTATTGTCAACAAATCCCGTGGAAAAAGAGCATGAAGAGCTAGGAGAGTCTGAAGACAATAATATCATATCCGATGAAAACAATGAAGATTATGATGATGAATAATTTGAATATGTATTATATAATATTAATCTTGTGTAATAAGATTGTGTAATATTATCTTTCAAAATAATCTTGTGTAATATTATCTTTCAAATATTATCTTGTATAATATTATCTTTTATGTAACATTAATTGTTTAATGTTTTTTTTTCAAAATAGAAAAAAATGTCACCCAGAAGAGAGGAAAGAGGTAAGGGTCAACAAAAGCCTCGCTGCACCAGGTTCATTGTAGAGGAGGTTCCTGATTCAGATTTGTTTACTCCTATGCCATTTTTGAGTCAAGTGGCCCATCCTCCTCCATCGCCTTTACATCCTACTTTATCCATATCTGGATATTTCACCGAATTTCTAACCATACCTCCTAAATATACACCATTCCCACCCATATCCCTCCAGCTTTTATTAGTCCTTATGGATACACACCATGTATGCATCCAGGTGGATCTAGCACCCCTCACCCCACATATTTTCCTATGTCTTCCATGCAGTCGAGTGAACCTATCATGCCCTATTCATTACCCATTCATATGGAGCCAGGTGGATCTAACATGCCCCGACCCATGCTTTCTGAGGACGATCATGGAGATATCCGTGCTCTTGGAGATACCAATGCTCAAGGAGATACATGTTCTTCTGTGGAGAAAACGAGGAGGGAGCACATCTTGAGAAGAAATGCGCCGTAAAAGAATTAAATATCATCATAGAAGACTTATCATTTGTCCCTATTTAGGGTCGTAAGTGTTTATGTTTTATATTATATTTTAAATTTGAGTTTTATTTAATCAATACTAACTAAAGATTTTGGTGTTTAGAATCTTGCCCTCACATCAGGAAGTATCGATCATAACAAGCATTATTAAATAGAAGTATACAAAATTCTAGCCGACTTATGGGGTTGTACTTGAAGATGACAAGAAAGATTGGTTTAAAGCATTTCAGGTATAATTGACTTACTCATTTAGGCATTTCCTTTATAATTTTTGAGATATTCATGATTATATTTTATTTAATATTTTTGAATTCATACAACAATGTAGGTGAAGTGTTGTTGGGATGTTAGAGATGACGTCCAAATTAAAGAAAATTTTCACTCAAAATGTGCTGTCCGATTTTTTGACACCATGAGAAATGTTAGACATAGATGGAAAAAAAAGGCACACGTCCATGTTGGATTGAAGAAGAAATATTCCAAGAGCTTATTGAGCATTGGAATTTTGAAAATTTAAGGAAACATTTGAAAAAGGCAAAGAAAATTAGAGTATCTGAAGTTGGTGGCTGCAACTACGGAGTAGACAGTATTAGTGTTACTGAAGTTGCACGAAAGATGGTACTTAAATTTATTTATTTTTAATTAATTTATCATTTAATTTTTAGATTACGTATAACTAATTATATTTTTACTTATTTAATTAGCATGAAGAGTTTGGTAGAACTCCACTTTTTAATGAGCTCCATATGAAGACTCATCTCAAGAAAAATAGAGAATTTATTTACGAGCGCGCAAAAATCACTCAAGTAAGTTTTACTTATAAAAGACATTTTATTTATTTCTTTTATATATACCTAACTTATTTGAATCAAGATAACATTTAATTTTTTTATAGGAGGAGTTTGATAGAGAACTTTCCCTAAAGTTGTTAGAGCATCCTGAAATACCTGGACCACTACCAGGATATCCTGTTGACCAAGTGTGGGTTTCCGGACATGGTGTGATGTTTCAGGTAGAAAGACAAAAATGGAAAAGTGTATGGTGTTTGAGAGTACACCAAAACTATCAAGCAACGTGATAGGAGTTTCAGAATGAGAGTTGCTGATGGAGAAGGAACATCAACTTCACCTATATTAACCGCCAAAATGCTTGAAACTGTGAGAAAATTGGCGAATATTGAGGCAACACTCCAAGTAGCAGCAAGAAATGCAGAAATTGAAGAGATGAAGGGAAAACAATTAGAGATACAACAAGAAATGCAGAAAAGAGAAACAAAGTCGCGGGAAGAAATGAGGAGGCAAACACTGAAGTATCAAGAAGCAATGTGGATTGCAAATGAGCAGACACAAAGATTTGATCAATTTTTTTGCTTCACAAAATTTCGGTGGTGGATTTGGAGAAATTAGCTGATATGGAGGAGTTGTTGAAGAAGAGTAAGAGGAACAAGATGAATAGAATAAATAAATTTAAAAATTTGAAGTTTATTTTAATTTACATGGAGGAGTTTTGAACTTAATTTTGACTTTATTGTAATTTGCATAGAGTTTTATTTCAATTTTTATTATGTTTGATTGAATTTTAATTATCATAATTATATTTTTTCTATTAATTATATTTTAGTTATGTTTGAAAATTTTTAACTATTTTATTTTTTTAATGTCAATATATTTTTTCATAATATTGTAAATATTTTTACAATTTATCAGGGGTTAAACTTCAAGGAAAACGTAAACGCATATATTTTTTTTCAGGGGTTTAATCCCTAGCCAATTGAAAATGTTTGTATTTTGCGAGGGGCATAACGGCAAACAAATTTTCTGACGTACTGTCCAGTAGCTGAATCCCTAGTTTGCGCCTACGTGTGCATGTTGTAGGTTGAAAAATGTTGATTGCATTTTGCGAGGGGTTAACCCCAAATAAATGAGCGACGTTGAAAGTCCCTCGCAAATCAATTTACGACCCCCTGTTTTACTAGGGGATCAGTTTTGTAATTTTTGCATTTGTAAAAGGTTTTCGGCATTTATGAGGAGATTATCCCGTGACTAATTTTGTTTTTTCTTGTCGTGATTTTTGGTGTTTGAATTTACAAGGGATGCCATGATTGAAGAAAAAAATGGATCGAAGACCTTCTGGGCAATGATGCTCTGATGCCAAGTTAGAGAACTTGTAATGTGTGTATTGATTGTTCTATTACACATATCTAAAACATATATACAGGTGAGCATTGCAAATCAAGATCCAAGAATCATGCTAGCCATAATGTCTCAGCACTAATACAGAAACAAATAATGCTAAGTTATTAATGACCGCTAATTACAATGTGATTCTGTCATGACATGATCCAATACATAAGGGATTATGTCTCTTACTCATACTCTTCCAAAATATTGTCCTGGAGTCAATCTTGATGCGTCTTGAATTTCGGTGGAATTTGTGGGTTCACTGCCAGTTTATGGATTCTCTGAGTATGGATTACTCCCTCCACATGTTGGTTCCATATAAGATGATTGTTGTCTTGTAACTTGGTGAATAACTTTGTACCGAAGTTGTGGCTCGAGCTCAAATTGGAGAACCAGAAGAAGTTAATTAATTGCGAAGTTGGAACGAAGCTGTTTACTGTTGCAACTTGTGTAAGCTCTGTCATGGCTGAGACTTAGGAGAGGTAGCAGGGAAGAAGATTAAGAAGAAGAGGTTCTTGAATTGCCAATACTATATTTTTTTGCACAATTTATTTTTGTAATTTATTTGAGTAATATCTTATACTAAATTCTCTGGATTTTATTAATAAAAAATATCCCTAAAAAATACAAATAAGTAAAGGAAAAGCGTCTTGCTATCGTAAATACATTATTTCAACTTAATATTACAATTCAACATATGGTGTTTCCTTTTACTTCTATCATTAAAAAGATAGAGAAACATGAATTTCTCACAAAAAAGAATGCTAAAACAGTATCCAGTTACATAAGAAAAGAAATTAAAACAATATATATTAATTAATGTGTTTTAATGCAAGAAGAACCCACAAAGACAATCAAACAAAGAAAAATGACCAGCCACTCATTGGCGTTGAGATTGAATGCAAAAGTATTATTGTCAAGTTGATCATCATCATCATTATCATCAGAGTTTTTTGCTGGAATTCTCTGCAGCAGACTATTAGTTGTTTGTGAACCATTCCCCCCTCCTCCTCTACCTGTGCTACCTGGTTTCCTTCTACTAACTTTTGCTTTGCTTTCACTATTAGCACATTTTCTGAAGAAAAACAGCGAATATAGTTAACAACAAATACTAAAACTATGCTTGCTAATGATTTCTAGAAAAAAATGGAGTCTTTTGTATCAAGTATATACTTACATAGTAACTGTGATATATTTTTTTGACGTGTAGTTAGGGATAGGCAGAATTGGCATACGAATGAAACTGCCTGCAACAAGGGCCATGGAAAAAAAAAGCTATAAATGATCAAACTTGGTTTTTCTCCTAATAATGAAGCAGAAAGAAGCTTTTGCTTGCAGAGGCCAAAGATAGTGCGTTTGTTCTTATTGTGTCTTGGTGGTTTAGTTGAACTTGGATGGTGGATTTATAGAGAAAAGAAGCATGTTGCAAAGATTAATTCATAACCTAAAATAAAACACATAAATCAGCGTTTAATATGTCAACTTTCAACACTTCTCTTTATCTCTATCTTGACTGTTGACTCAATATTTTTATTTTTTAATCATATACTTGTAGTGTGTCATATTCTCTCCGATCTCTATGACAAAATAGTTTTTAAAGAGAAATGATATTCTTATAATTGTTCACATATATCTTAATAATATTTTTATATTATTTTGATTTCTTAACGTATTTTTCTTTAAAATATTTTGGTTAATAATATATATTCTAACATAAAAACTTTAATATATATATATATATATATATATATATATATATATATATATATATATATATATATATATATATATATATATATATATATATATATATATATATATATATATATATATATATATATATATATATATATATATATATATATATATATATATATATATATATATATATATATATATATATATATATCAGACTTTGTTTAATATTATTTAATAAAATATTATAATAAAATAAAATTGATTTTGGTTAATAAAAGTTGGTTAATATATTTATAATTTAGTGTCAAAACATAGTTAATAGTATGTATTTTATTGATTAATAAAATAGTGAAAATAATTAATGAGTTATACATAAAATAATTGATTAATGATATATCTTTTTATGGTTAATACAATTATAAATTGGTTAATGACATGATCTTATATTTATATTATAAAATTAATTTAAAATTAATTTTTTTTTAAATATTATATTAAAAGATTAATATTTTTTATTAAAAAAATATTATTAACCGTATAAATATGATAAATAATATATATGATACAAATATTGAACGTAGAAAAGAGTGTCAACATAACATTCTTGTTTGTTAAAATGTAACTTAAGACATTTTTTTATTTTAAAATAATATCTTTATATCAGGTTTATTAACTGTTGAAATATTAAATTACATTTGTTAAAATATTAGATTACATAAAATTTGATTAGATTTAATATTTAAATATAATTCAAGTTGTGTAGACCCAAGTCCAATTAAGATTGTATATAAATAGTTTTAGTATATATCATTATTTATACAATTCAATAATATAAATCTTTTTTTCGTTATTATTCTCTCTTTCTCTCCTCACTAATGTGCCTTACGCACTAACAAACTGATCTTAGAGCTTCCGGTTATTGTTCTTGATCGAGTTTTCAAGAGTTTCACGTCAGAGATCGTATTTCTAGAACAAGTGAATCAACTGCTGCGAAGATGACTAGTGATAAGAGCATTATGAATTCTCTTCCAATGTTTTACGGCAAGAATTGGATCTGATGGAAAAAATAGATGCAATCCTTGTTTGGCTTCCATGAAACCTTAGAAGTGGTTACCGACGACGTTTCTACATTGGCTGCAAATGCAACCGACGAACAGAAAAAAACCTACAACGAAGTTAAGAAGAAAGATTGCAAGGCTGCTTATTGTATTCATACGGCAGTCGATGCTGCTAAATTTGACAGAATCTCTCATGTTGAAACGGCAAAGGAGGCATGTAATATTCTGGTGAAGTATTACGAAGGAGGTGAGAAAGTCAAGGTTGTCAAGTTACAAACCTTGAATCGACAATTTGAGTTGTTGTCAATGGGAGAAGATGAAAAAGTTGCAGAATATGTGTCGAAGGTTCAAAAACTCACCCATCTCATGAAGGGTTATGGTGAAACCATAACTGATAAGATGATAGTTGAGAAGGTAATGAGAACGTTGACCTCTCACTTTGATCACGTTATCTTAGCTATTCAAGAATCCAACAATCTTGAAACCACTAAAGTGGAAGATTTGGTTGATTCGTTGGAGGCGCAAGAGATGAGGATTGTCGAAAGGAAAGGAGTGCAAGACTCGATACAGGCTCTACAAGCTCATTCATGGAAAAAGGATGGTGGTTCCAACAAATTCAAAGGCAAGTTCGACAAGACTCAGGGCAAGAAGTCTTGGTCGAAACCTCACAAACATCAGGTCGACGATGGAGCTTCTAAATCCTCGAAAGGAGGAGGAGGAAACTATCTAATGGGAAAATAAGATAAAAAAGGTGTGCAGTGCTATAACTGTGAAAATTGGGGTCACGTAGCCAAGAATTGTTGGTACAGAAAAGATAGGGGATCGACAAGCAAGGATGAAGGAGCGAACCTTGCACGCCAATATTCAGATGATTCTGAAGGTGGGATGGTGGTTATGGCTGCAGTTGCAGATAACCATGTCGAATCCAAAATCTGGTTTCTCGACTCAGGCTGCTCGAACCACGTGATTGGTTGAAAGGAGTGGTTGGTAAATTTTGATGGTTCGAAGAAGAGCAAGGTAAAACTTGCTGATAATAGTTCGTTGCAAGAAGAATGTAGTGGAAATATAGTCTTTCAAGTGATTAATAGAGGGAAAGCTATGATCAAAGATGTGTTTTGTGTACCCAGAATAAAGTGAAACTTGCTAAGTGTTGGACAACTAGTCGAATAAGGTTTCTCAGTTGTCATGAAAAATGGACTTTTGAAATTGTTCGACACCAAGAACAATTTGGTCTTAAAATCTCCGTTGTCGAAGAACAGGACATTTAAGACTATAATCAGTTCGACTGAAGTTCAATGTTTGAAAACTGTTGTTGACCACAAGGATAGTTGGTTATGGCATTTTAGGTTTGGACATTCGAATTTTTGATCACTCAGACAACTAATAACTCAAGATATGGTTACTAGAATTCCATATCTTGAGATGCCTGAAAAACTTTGTGAAGGTTGTTTAGTAAGAAAGCAATCTAGAAATTCTTTCATTTCGACTATGCCAATGAGATTATCTTACATACTTGAAGTGGTACATTCAGATGTATGTGATCCATTCGAAGAACATACAGTTGGTGGAAACAAATATTTTGTTTCATTTATCGATGAGTTTAGTCGAAAGTTGTGAATCTATGTGATCAAACGAAAGGACAGAGTATTTTAAATATTTAAGAGATTCAAGATACTTGTCGAAAACTAGAGTGAAAAGAATATCAAAGTTCTGCAAAAAGATGGAGGTGGCGAATACACATCCAAGATGTTTGAAGATTTCTATGTAGAATATGATGTTGATCATGAGGTAACTTCTCCTTATACGCCTCAACAAAAGAGAATTGATGAAAGAAGAAACATAATCATATTAGATATATCAAGATGCATGCTGAAGCAAAAGAATTTTCCAAAGTCTTTATGGGGAGAAGTTGTTTCGATTGTAGTTTATATTTTGAATAGGTTTCCTATCAAGATATTGAAGAACAAAGTTCCTGAAGAAGTATGGAGTGGAAAACGATCATGAGTGATTTATTTGAAGGTGTTTTGCTATATGTGTTACAAGCATGTTCCTGATGCAAGAAGAAGGAAGCTTAATGACAAGAGTGAACATATGATTCTGGTAGGATATCATAAAACTGGTGCATATAGACTATTTAATCCAGTTAATGAGAAGATTGTGTTGAGTCGAGATATTGTGATTAATGAAAATTCTGTCTGGGATTGGAATTCTAGAAATTCAATTAACAAGCCATTGATGAGTTCTGATGTCGATGAAGAAATTGATGAAGTAGAGGTCAAAGGAATTATTGAGAATTCAGTCGAATTCAAAGAAGAAGTAGTTGCTGACATTCCCGACACAGTCGGAATCGAAGAGGTTGTGGCTGAAATAAGCCAGAGACCTCAAAGAAAATAGAGTTCTTCCAACAACACTTCATGATTATAAAGTGGTGGGTGATGAAGTCACACCATATGGAGAATTAGTTCATTTTGCTTTACTTGCAGGTGCTAAACCAATTAACTATAGCAAAGCTTTGAAGACTAAACAATAGAAGTTAACTATGGTCGAAGAGTTACAGGCAATCGAAAGAAATAACACATGGGAGTTAGTCGAATTTCCAACACATATAAAAGTTATCGAAGTAAAGTGGGTATTCAAGTTGAAACATAATGTTGATGGCTCGATAGCATGACATAAAGCAAGATTAGTAGCTCGAGGGTTTCTTCAAAGAGAAGGACTCGACTACTATGAAGTATTTTCTCCAGTAGCAAGATTGGAGATTGTTCGACTAGTGGTAGCATTGACATGCAACAAAGGCTAGTCAGCATTTCATTTAGATATGAATGCAACATTTATGAGTGGTCCCTTAGATGAAGAGGTCTATGTAATACAACTTCCAGGGTTTGTGATTCAGAAGGAAGCGAGTAAAGTATATAAGTTACACAAAGCGCTCTATGGTATCAAGCAGGCACCTAGGACATGGAATAAGAAGATCGACTCATACTTAGTCAAATTGGCATTTGTCAAATGCAAATATGAGTATGGTATCTATGTTTATATCGTAGCACAAGATATAACCATGATCTGCTTATATGTCGATGACTTGCTAGTAACTGGAAATAGCTTGAAGAACTTGTCGAAGTTCAAAGAGTTCATGATGAAGGAATTTCAAATGTCTGATCTGGGAAAATTTTCTTATTTCTTAGGTATGGAATTTTAAATGTCGAAGCAAGATAGGTACTACATCAAAGGAAGTGTGTCAAAGAAATACTCAAGAGATTCAGAATGGATGATTCGAATCCTACATCCTCGCATGTCAAACCAAATGTATGATTGAACAAGAATGTAGAGAAAGACAAGGTCAATGTAACTTTGTTCAGGAAAGTTGTGGAAGAAGATGAGGTATGTGTGCAACAGTCGACCTGATATAGGTTTCGTTGTAGGATTAGTAAGCAGGTATATGAGTGAACCAAGAGTGTCACATATGAAGGCTGCAAATAGAATCCTGAGATATTTGAAGGGTTTGAT